GCATATTTCCCGTTTCCTATTTCTGGACTGCAACTCCCAGCAATCCTCCAGACAGATAAGATAGACAGATTAGATAGAGATAGATAGGTAGATTGATTGATCGATCAGGAGAACTGCTGGGAGTTGCAGTCCAAGAATAGGTAGAGAAGGAAGAAAGGGGAGAAAAAGGAAGGGAAAGAAAAGGGGGGAGGAAGAGAAGGCAGGAAGGAGACAAAGAAAGGAGGAGAGAAAGAGGGAGGGAAGGTTGGCTACAGCAACGCGTGGTGGGTACAGCTAGTTATTATAATAAATATTTACATGTATATTACCAATCTACTAACAAAAGAAATTAACTTTAAGATATGTATATAGTTGGCTGCCATCAAGAGTAGAAAAATAGTTAATTGATAAAATAAGGAAAAGGAATACTATGCAGAGCTGGAAGAAAATAAAAGAAGGGACAATATAAGAAGATAAAAGAAATCAATGCAGATTCAGAAAGATCATCTGTTACTCTTGTTAGAAAAGATGTCATAGTTGGAACTTTTTTTTACTTCACTTCCTTCGTATAGTAAAGAATATGCATAATGATACTTCCTCCCCCTCTATGTCTTTGATGTCACAATAGACTCATGTGTAGAACTATTTAACTAACATGGCTCCATAACTTATAGTACTATATTCTTTTATATTCCCCATCTTTCCCTTCTTTTTCTCTTTTTTATTGTTTATTAGAGTTACTTTTTCTCTTTTTTGGAAACAAAATAAAACTTATTTGCAAAAAAAGGAACAATTGAGCTATACACTCACCATACGTACCAACCTGCAAAAATTCCCATAATGAACCTCATTGCTCAAGGTTTGTGCACATACTATATGTAGTAAGGTTGGGGGAAAATCATAGCAATGTCTTTAACCTCCATGTCCCTTTCTATATGTCATTTGGGTACCATACAAAATTCCCTTTAAATTGTGTTTCTTTTATTTTCCAAATATGAGAGTTAAGAAGTAAACACAATACTCACCGAACATGATCTGTACTTTGAGGTGACACTTCCAATTCTTATAAGCATATTCTATTAATGCCATGTTCATGGATCCATATGCCTTAAAGTTCTCTGTTGACTTATAGTGACCTCAGAAATTTCAAAATGCTCTCAAGTTCCATGAATCTCATCCTACCATCTCACCACACTGGGGGTTTTGGGCTCCTTGCTCCTCTTCGGCCACATGATCTGCTGAGCATCGTCACATGACACAGGCAGTGGCCCCTCTAATTTCATGGCCGAAGTGGCAAGGAAGCATCACAAGATGCTTCCTCACCAACAATGAAAGGTAAGGTGTTTTTGGATAGCTCCGGTGGAGCTACCCATGGTTTTGGTCCTTTCCCCCCATCTAATGGGAGCAGGGCAGGATGCCAATGGACCTTGTCCCAATGCCCTCATGTGATGGGGAAGGAGGGAGGGTGTGTGGATTGCAAAATGGAACTAAAAAGTGTGTGGGGGGGGCATTAGTATGATGAGGGCCATAGTCTATATGTCCTCTTGATAAATAGAGATTGTTAGCAACCTCTATAGAAGGCTTCTATGTCATTTTTAGAGCCAATCTTCCGTATATATGGGTTTTACTTCTGGAGATTTGATTATTTGCTAATTTTATTTTAAAATGTTCTCTAGGAATATCTAGGTCCTCCAGTGCAATTCTATGGCCAACTTCCACTAGATGATAACCACCGAATCACACGGGAAAGCCTATGGATTCCTATAGCTGCTTTGAATGATGTTGCTCTGTGCTTCTGATATGTTTTTATTTGATTGCTGTTTGTTGGTTTTATTTTAATGTGTTTGTTTTAATCTGTAATTTTCGGCCTTGTCCCTTTGTAAGCCACCACAAGTCCTCTCGGGGAGATGGAGGTGGGGTATAAGAATAAATTATTATTATTATTATTATTATTATTATTATTATTATTATTATTACTAGAAACACAACAAGATGAGTCCACAACAGACACTCTGCTGGCTGTTGAATTGGATCACACGCCGGACACTTCCCAAGTGTCTAGGACTGTGTGATGTATCAGTGAATGATGCGTGCAGATCCCAGTAAGGTGGCCTTCTGCAGCTGACAGGTGGTAATTTTGGCAGCGCCAATTGTGTTTAAGTGAAGGCCAAGGTCTGTAGGCACTGCACCTGGTGAATCTCCTTGTGGAGTGAAAAAGTGGGATGATGATGATGATGATAGACAACACCTCTATAGGAATTGCTTGGTCCTCCAGTTGAGATCCTATGGTGAATTTTCAACAGACATTGATGATAGAGTTGTGTTAAACTACCTAGAGAGTCCTGAAGAGCTGTTCTCTCAAATTAAAAAAGCTATTTTTGTGGTTTTTCACGTTCAAGGAGGACCTACCAGTGGATGTGGAGGACTTATAAATGTTTTTCTGTATCATTTGTAGCTGAGGAAGGCTATATATCATCGGTGAAAATGTGTGAGATTTCTCATTGTTTGTAAAACGTAATTATCATCAATCAACCAAGCACTGACCAAAATAAAAAAATTGTTTATTTCCATTTTTTTTATCTGAACTTTCCAAAATCCAAATATTGGTGCATAAATCCAATGGAAGAGCAATGAAACCAAAAAACCTCGCCCTTTGAATGTTTAACTCTTAAAATATGTGACTTTAGATCAATATCTACTCAACCACAGGAAAGAAGAGACAAAGAAAATGTTACTGAAAAATCTGGTATTGGTAGCTGTAGTTCTTGGGGTTATTTTTATTTAGAAGATCTATTGTTGTGGTTCATGTTGAATTTTGGGGCATTGCCCCAATGATGTGTATTATGCAATAGACTGCCATGTTTGCATCTAGACAGCTTCAAGATGGATGGTGGGAAAGACCATTTTTATCCACTTTTCCCACTTTCTCTTTTTTTAAAAAAAGAGTTATGGCATATAATATTTCAGTGAAAAAATAGAATAGTGCTTTTGCACTAAAATGCTGTTTTAACAGTTTCACTTCACTGTAGCAGTGTTTTACTATGATTCAGTGGAGCCCCCGGTGGCGCAGTGGGTTAAACCCTTGTGCCGGCAGGACTGAAGACCGACAGGTCGCAGGTTCGAATCTGGGGAGAGGCGGATGAGCTCCCTCTATCAGCTCCAGCTCCTCATGCGGGGACATGAGAGAAGCCTCCCACAAGGATGATAAAACATCAAATCATCCGGGCGTTCCCTGGGCAAGGTCCTTGCAGACGGCCAATTCTCTCACACCAGAAGCGACTTGCAGTTTCTCAGGTCGTTCCTGACACGACCAAAAAAAAAAACTATGATTCAGTGTGTTAGTGAAACAAACAATTGCCTCATAAGAAGATGCCCCAATGTGAGAAAAAAAGCTTTTAAAAGCCCTTCTAATGAGGATCCAAGAAACAAACATCTAGCAACAAACATCCTCAACAAAATAATAGGAGAGAGGCTATTGACACAGTGATATCAGCAAACAGCAATAAAAAATGAAGAAGTCATGTTGCCAACACTGTGAACCACCGTGAGTCCCCTTCAGGATTGAGAAGGGCAGTATAAAAATACTGCAAATTAATAATAATAATAATAATAATGAAGTCCCATATTTGTAGCATTAAATTTCTAATAATTTCTTTTAACAGGCTCCTCATTTTTAATAGATATATGGAAGAAAAATACAACTCAGTGTCTCTCCATGCTGTGAATAGTAGTATCTCTTGCATTTTGGCCCCATAAAAATGCTTGAGCATTTGGCAGGGTCATTTTTAATATATTGAGTTTATTTATTAAATATATACCCATATTGAAGATTTTGGAGGAGTATTCAGTGAATTAAAGCAGCTAATAAATTTAAAACATATGCATTAAAAAGGGACTGGGTTTTTTTGAACTGGGGAATGTTTATGTGAAGAACTTGCATAATTTCAAACATTTCTTCATAAATTTCACAGGAAAAATGGGATTTTTTTAAAAAATGTGAATTTGAAAGAAAGTAAAACTCATAGATCAATTTAACCAGCTGTATGTTTTGCAGCTAAACAAAAAAAAGTATTCTTGAAACTCAAGGCAAATTCCCAATGATAAATATTTCGGGCATGAATAAGTTCTTCCATCCTCATTACTATTTCACCAGAGAGTATTGAAAGTATCCATAAAATGTGCATCTGTCAAAAATAAAATGTGTGTGTGTGTGTTCTCAGACATCAGTGTAGGATTAAATTCATATATCTGACCTCTTATACTGCCAACAATGCTGTTTGAAAGAGAGAGAGAAATCTCTAATCCTTTATTCTCCAAAGCTATACACAGGGGGGTGAATACTTTATCTTCTCTTTTTTTCCCCTGTACCTTTCTGACTGCCAATTTAGCTCAGACTGTTGGCTGTCTCCCAGATGATTTCTAATAAAGATGATGTGCATAATCAGATTATTTATTATTATTAGATACCTACTTTATGGCAGTGGTCTGCTAATCAAATTCAGAATTGGAGTGCGGAAGTTTTAGGCAGGCGAGCAGCCAACGTGGTCTTAAAATCAAAGCAAGTACAACCAGAATGGCTTGGAGTCGCTGCAAAATTCCTTGCGTGTTACCTGATTTTCAAGAGAGTATCCCATTGTTAAATTGAATAAGTTGGGTCCATAAATATTGAGAGAGAAAGCAAGAAGGAGAGAGAATTGCACCTCTTCCCTCACCCCAGCCCTGTAAAGTGATTTGATTTTGCTGAAACAAAGCATGTGCGTTTCTTGAACCTAAAGTTATAAAATATTCTGACAATTTTAATATAAACAGGAACCTTTTGCAGTGATTGCTTGGATCAGAAATGTTTTTTCCACTTGACATTTTGTTTATGCTTCCTGGAAGAGAAACTTTATTTATGGATAACCAAAGAACACAAATAAACACGGCAGAGAGCTGAAAAATCAGCTTTGATTATGCATGAAAATCTACAATGTCATTGTGTACTCTGGTTCCATATTCTGATTGCCTGTTTATTTTTCTAGAGCTGCTGGCGAGCCCATGGAAGAAGAGCCAGCCTTGTGAAGTGCCAAGTTCTCCATGATATTTCCTGTGCGTGACATCATTGTGTACCTCCATCTACCGCCAACCCCCCCCCCCCATTTTGAAAAAAAAGCACCCTTAGACATGTCTTGTCTGCTGCCTGGGTGGCAAGGATCAGATGGAACGTAAACACACTGGGCACACAATTCTGAACAGCAGCTTCACTTGTTCGTAGGACAGACTTAAAAAGCCTCCTTTGGTGTAACCGCTACAATTCTAAAGTTACACGCAAACCAGATCTTGCAGAGAGAGACCAAGCCTAGAAGCCTGCTTTCAAGCGCTGTGCAATGCACTCAGTGACTTCAGTGATAGAATAGAAGCATCCAATTAATTCCACTTTCTTGACTATGGTTGTGTATGAAAATTTGAAACAGCTTAAAAAACCACAGGGTGGAAGGGGGGAGACTCATGGCATCACAATCCCCACTGCTTCTGATTTTAAAAACACATTTTTACCTCTTTCCCTCCTCTTTCTTTCACATGGTTAAAAATAGTTTAAAGGCTTGATTTCAGAACGGAATGAAATGATGTGTTCTTTCTCCATAGTGCCATTTGAAAAACATGATAGCCATTTCAGATTGGAGAAATATATTGTTGCTTTTAAAGGGTCGTGGAAACTCAGGGCCCATCTATGCTAACCATTTAATAATGGTGGCCAGACAACAAAAACCCACAAAAGTTCACCAAAAAAAAATCCCTTAACGTGCATCAGTAGTTTTTGTAATCACAATCTGGTTACTGGATTTCCTATGTAATCTTCTGCACAATGAAACTACTTTCTTCAATACTAGTTTGAAAGTGCAGTAAATGGTCAGTGAAGATGGTGCCTCAGTCAATAGGAAACTTTTCTCCATTGCATTTCAGCTGTCCTAAGCAGGATTGTGCAAAATGGCTCTTTAGTTGTAAACTTCTAGGTATTTTACTCAGAATTCAGCCCTAGGACATACTGCCTCATAAAAGGATGTAGGAGTCCAACATGGTTGATCATTTTATTGGTTAGTTCTTCATGGTTCCCTTACTCTCCAGAAGGAGAAAGCAATTATAATAGTGCATAATCCATCCAAGTTATTCTGTGACCACAAAATTCCCATCTGCTCTTTAAGAATCAGTCACTTTCTTCTATCTTACATTAGCACTGTTTTGAAAGGAACAGACTGAAATCCACAAAAGCTCATGCTCAAGTAAATTGGTCTTGACGGTACAACTAGATCCTTTTTTTCCCTACTTGCTTTTTTTAAAAAAATGCTAATTCAGCCTAGCTTCAGACCCATACTATACCCCACCTCTAAAGGGTAAAAGTATGAATGATTTTCCCAGATTTGCTACAATGATGATGATGAGATGATGGTGATTTCCCCTGCTCCCTAAACTGGGACTCAAGTGCTTCTGAAGGCAGATTTAGTTTTAAAAGCAGTTCAGGACATCACTCAATCTCTTCCATGGAAGCAGAATATTGAAAGGTTTTAAGAGGCATTTTGACTTCTATTTGTCTTCTCTAAAGTTTAACTAGTAGATTAGGACAAAAGTCTCTCCAAATTCAAGAGTGTGGCAAAGGAGCTGTGCACTCTTCTAACAACCAATGCTTAAACTCTTACACATGTTGCCTTACTCTCACAACAAAGAAAAGGGGGTTGTGGCATTTATTCAGAAACAAAGTTTTTTGAGGGACACCAATAGCAATGGAGTTGTAGTCATTTTTGAGAATCACACACAGAGTGAAAGCATAGTCTATTATGTATCTTCAGTTATTCTGCCTTACAGAATCAAAAAGCGAGATTTCCTTTGAACAGCGAGGGATGTTCTTGCTTTATATTTTTCCAAGCTCAAAGGATACATAAAAGCCATAAGTGAACACTGTCATGCTTTTTATTCCAAAATTTGAAAGAAACCTTAATTAAAACAAGGTTTTGGGGGACGCCGTGGTATGAAAGATATGAAACAATGTGGTTTCAGTTATAGCAGACTCAAACCTGTAAATCAAAGATGAAAGATTTCACTCAAATAGAATTATATAATTCTCTCTTGTTATACAGATGGGCTACATTTTTTGCCTCAAATGTGTTCAGGTTTGTTTACAATTAGCATTTTAATTTCAGATCCTTTTTACTACTTATATGGAAACAGTTTGCTGTAACATGAAAATCGGAGTCTGTGTTTAAAACAGGAAATCGGAGGAAAAATGTCACCCAGTGAAACATGGAATTATCTTTTTAATATAAGTGTTATGAGATGCATTCTTTTGATTAATTACTGGGGAAGAAATCAAATCCTATTTTAAGCTTAAACCCCAGTATTGACTTTCATAGTTAAAAGAAGAAAACCGATGAATCAAAGTTGCATTAGCACATATACTCAATCTAGTCTACGATATCTATAGAATTACTTTGTGAGTAAGGCAATCTATTCCAGACATTTGTCTTGAGTGATACTACTTGGCAAATCATTCCAGTTTTTCCAATAGTCATCCCTTACACATATGTCTTAGGAAAAATTAGTCACCAAGCCTGCTGGTAATTATTCAGTCTAATGGTTTAAATTCAATGCTTCCTATTTTAAGTGCTGGTGCTGAAAATGTCCATTTTCTTGTTGTGAAATCGGTTTGCTTTTGAAGCCTAAATTGTGAATGGGATAAAAGACAAAGAACTAACTCATTTAGCTTTGAATTTATAGTGAGGAAATGTTCATGTTTCCTTTGCAAACCACTGAGCACAATTGAGATGCTTGAGAAAAATCGAACCAAAACCAAAGAAGAGTATGAGTCCATACACATTCATTTGAGAGCAAGTAAACATGCATCTGTCATTGAACTCCACTTTTGATTTTATGGTGTGTCTGTGTGCCTTCAAGTCTCTTGTCAACTTATGCCAACCTCATTAATTTCATAGGGTTTTTCAGGCAAGGAATACTCAGAGGTGGTTTTGCCAGTTTCTTCCTCTGAAATATAGCCTATGAAATCTGGTATTCATTGACAGTCTCCCATCCAAGTAATTCAGAACTGACCTAGCTTAGCTTCTAAGATCTGGTGCCTTTATGGCATTTTACTATATAAAAGGCAAAGTTGAGCTGGCACTATTACAGCACTAATTGTCTCTTCAGAGGGTAGATGCCTGGAAATCTACATATATGCACACTCGCACAAATGTAGAAAAGGGATTTTGTGTTTGGTCTATGATTTTGGGTTATGTATTCCAGTTTAGGAAGGTGCATAGCAGTAAGTTAATTAGAAACAGTATAAACATTACTGTTTGAGAGGAATAATCTCACACTTTTAAGTCCTTGCCAAGAATGGCCCAGTGAATAATCTAAAAACCCAGGTGTTGCAGTATTATTGATGCTACGCAAGTGTGGACCTGAGCAGCAAGGCTCAGCGATACAGATAAGGGATTACTGAAAATTGCATGTGAGGTCAGGGTGGTCTCGTGGTTACAGTGTTCAATTAGGATTTAAAAAATCTTATACCAAGTTCATACTGAGCCATGAAACTGAGTGACTCTCTCTCTCTCTCTCTCTCTCTCTCTTCCTGAACATGATTATTGTGAGCATAAGGAGAAGCAGAACTGTATGCATCACTTTGTGCTCATGGAAGATAGGACACAAGCTATAACCATTAACCAATCAAGATTTATTTATTTATTTATTTATTTATTTATTTACAACATTTATATTCCACCCTTCACACCCCGAAGGGGACTCAGAGCTGTTTACAAGATATATATATATACTATATTGTATTATACCATTATATTGTAATATTATTAGTAATATTACATGTAATATAAATATGTAATTATAATATATTATTATTAGTATTATATATAATACTATTTATTATATAATTAATTATATAAAATGTGCAAAATAATTTTAAAAACACAGAAGTCTATAAATGACTTGGCCATTTTTTATAATTTGGGTAATACTGAATGTATAGAAATGTCTTGCTGTTTGCAAAATGTTTTCAGACTCTGCTGAGCCATTAGGAGAACAAGAGTTTGATCCATATTTTTAAAGTTCCTTTCCATATGCTTCTGTGATATTCAGTCTTGACACCCCTGGCACAGAATCAAGGATCCAAAGATCTATATTATATGGCCTCAAAGACTTGAGCATCTCTGCTGTTGTTGGGGGACTTCTTTTAACCCACCCACCACACAGCACTCTTGTTCTAAAGGCTATATTAAAATTTGTAGATGGGAATCAAGCTACACTTTGCTTTTAAGACCTGTCACTGCTTTTTTTAAAGAAAAAAATTATGGAAGAGATGAATGGCACTGGAATCAAGATATAGGTGGAAGGAGGTAAGAACAAATGCTTTTCCTGTTGCACTATATCCCCACTGAAACTCCCCTCTCTCTCCAAAACAGTTCTTATCTGACCTGTTAATGGGGTTTACATGTGTTATTTCTTAAAACTAAGCATTATATTTTCATGCCCATTTTTTTAACAAATAGTATTCAACCTGGTAGAAGCAGGTGTGAAAAAGTCACCTGGCAGACACTAATGGACTTGGTATAATGAATGTGACTTTTCACTAACAGTTCTATTTTTTAAAAGAGATTGTGATGAGTTGGAATAGGAATACTGCTCAAGACATCCTAGTCCTAAATTCACTCAGGTCGCTTTCCAAAGCCTGAGGTCCTTTCAGGCTGCACAATTATAGCACAGTATGTGTGCGTGTGCCTCCAAACTGCCTGTCAACTTATCAGGACCCCATGAATTTAAAAGGGTTTTCTTAGTGTTAGTCAAAGTGGCAGGCAGAAAATAAGCTTGTTTCATCTTCAATATGACATCTTTTCAAATATTAAACATGGCAATCATGTCACTGCTTAACTTTCTCTTCTCCAAGCTCAAATTATCCATTCCTACAATAAGGCATGGTTTCCAGTCCTTCTCAAGGAGCTACATTAAAAATATGGGATTTTTGGAATGTTGTTCAGTCTAAAAAAGGAGACTTTCCAGACCTCAAATAAAGGATATCCTTTATAATATGAGGCATATGCCAGTCCTATCTGGAGATGGGAACAGTATCGCAACATTCAAAAAAGTGAAAACTTTGCTTACATTCCATTCTATGCATTAGTCCAGGGGACAAGTTCATTTCATAATTCAAAAAGTTTGAATTCCCCAAATATTCCCATTCTTGACCTTGCTAGTAAGATGTAAATAGTAATAATAAAACTGTCCCTTGGGCTCAATTTGGCCAAAAGTGCTTTTGGCTCAGTCTGTAATTTGGCTAAAATTTATTTTAGGAATCAAAGGAATATATTGCCACATATCTTCAAATTGTTTCCAATTTATGGAAGGCCTAAGACAAACCTTTCATTTTATTTTCTTGGCAAGAAAAAGCCAGTGTGGTGCAGTGCCTTGGATTACAACTCTGGAGACCAGGATTCGAATCCCTGCTTAGTTTTGGGAACCCACTGGATGACACCCTCTCAGGCTCAGAAGAAGGTGAAAGTTTGGCCTCTCTGGAACAAGCCTTGCCAAGAAAACTGAATATAACTCTGTGAAAATGACTTCCATGCATAGGATTGATTTGCCTATTTCATTTAAAACAATAGAAAGTGGTTAGTCAAAAGTAATTGATTTCATTGAATTGAAAGGGAAATTGTAATGAGTAATTTTTGCTGGATCGTGGCATCTATATTTAACTAATGGACAAAATGTTGAGAAATGGGGAGAGGTATCTTTCGTAGTTGAAATCTCTTTTGAATACATCATTTCATGCTGTTATAACAGTACTTTCAAATCCTACAGAGGCAATATCTAAACATGCAAAATGTGCCACCATTAGCAACAAGAAGAATATGTACATAACAGGACTGTTTCCGTGTAAACACCTATGTTTAAAGGGAGAGAGAATTCTTTTCAAAGTACTACTGCTGCATTAGGTGGCAGCAAATTCGTCAGTGTCAAACTGCAGAGACAGATTTTTCTCTTCATTTAACAAGGTCTTCCTAATAGTATTTATTGCATTCCAGGCTGACATGAACATCTGCAGTAGCAGAGTCATATCCACCAGATCCAAATTTAGCAAAGGCTGATGAGTGACCATAGTTTTTAATGCAGTAGAAAGTGGCTATGATGCGTACATGGGTTTCGTTTTTATTATTTGTTTGGAGGGGATTGGGAACTCAACAGGAAACCCATCAGATCATGCATAGCAATGTCTCATTTTAAACTGCTTCTGATTTGGGATAGAAGAGATCAGTTACTCCAGATAGGGAAGATTGAGTCAAAACAGGTGCTGGGCTAATATTCCATAGCTTGTCAAGGTCTTAATGCAAAACTAGATGTGGGAGTGAGGTAGGGCATTGCAAGACACTGTGAGAGACTCTAGAATGGTTATAACCATGATACAGCCACCTGCCCAGTGTCCCACCAGTGTTGAAAGGGGCTTAAAACTGATAGTAATAGACTCATAGTAGAGTTTAGGAGTATAGTGGGTCTTTGGTATCTGCTGGGGTTGGTTCCAGAACCTCCTATGGATAACAAAATACATGGGTGCTCAAGTCCTAGAATATGCAGTGACTGCCAAGGCATAGATGACTGGATCTACGAATACAAAATCCATGGGTATGAAGGGCCAACTGTAATTCCTTAAATATTATTTTGTTCCCTTGAGTTCCTCAAAATGCTCAACCTTGTTTTTAAAAGTTGACATTTGCATTGAAAAACAACATTGGCCATTGAAAGGAAAATTTCTCAGCACAGATTTGACCATGGACAGGAGGACAAGAGTTAATAACTTTTTCTTGGCTACTCCTCCATCTTCCAATTTCACTGGGTGACCTTGGGTAAGCCACACTCTCTCAGTCTCAAAGGAGGGCAATGGCCTCTGATAAAATCTTGCCAAGTAATCTTGCCAAGAAAAGTCTTTGAGAAGTTCATATATGTTAGAGCTTTGAAGACACATAACAACAATTATTAAAAGACCAGGCATTTTCTGTCAATTTGTCTTAATCCCAAGGGTAATTAAATATATGTATGCATTCAGTGTATTTTTAATCATCCACTGTCAATCCCCTGAACATGCTTAGGACCCTGAAACACTTTTGTGCATGTTTGTGTCTGTGTGCTACTTTTATTATTGTTCCCTTCTTCAGGTCCATAGGGATTCTCTTCAGTGGTAAGTTCTCATGTGTGCCAGTAGCAGCTTTCTTCCCAAACACTGTAGTTCCAGTTTTGACTGATGTAGCATAGCTGTTATTTCTAATAACTTTGACAAGATCAATTATATGCATCTAAACACCATGTACCAGGCCCTGTCTGATCTTGGAAGCTAAGCAGAGAAAGTCCTGGTTTATACCTGGATGGAAAATCATCAAGGAATTCCAGGTGCTGTAGGCTATGGCAAAAAACCCCATTCTTAAGAAAACGCTATGAAATGGGGTTGCCATAAGTCAAGTGGTGACTTGAAGACTTGAAGGCACCTAGAGACACACACAATCACAGAGTACATGTAAGGAAGTTTGAAAAAGTCATGGCCAATAGAAATGGCTTGATCAACCAAAATTATTCTTAAATGCCAAGGGTTTTTTTTTAAAAAAGAAGAATCGTATTGGTATGGGAAAGATGAGCCTAGAAAGCATTATTCTAAATATTCCTGATATTTTTTGTGTCCAAGAGCCTTCCATTAATAACTTAAAAGTCATCTTGTGCTTCAGAGTCTTTGTATGTTTAATTATGGAAGCTTTGAAATTGCTTGCAGTAGTTTTCAATCGGGTTGGGGAAAAAGTTCATTTGGTCCTGTGTTTTGTATAATTATTTGACTATACTCTTGTTCTCATGTGTATTAAAGAACCCTGTTTCAAATAAGAACATTTGAAGTTTGACTCTTTTTTATTTTACAAATGTTTTTAACTAACCAGGGAAGTTTCAGAAGTAGCATATGAACTTGCCACCCTAGTAGAATCATAGGCATTTAGCTATTAAAACATAAATATACTGAGCACCATCAAGATGGAGTGCATAAAAAAACAAACCACAAACATTAATGTGAAAGGAATGATACTTGTCAGCCTTAAAACCACAGAAAGAAAATGAAAAATATCCAGAGCTAAAACTGAAGCTTTAAAGCTCATATTTGATACTCCATTTTGCCAATAAATTAATTGTTGAAGACTACTTTTTTTTCTTCTACATTTGAAAAATTCTGCCCAACTTTAACTTTTTGCATATATAGGGTTGAATTTCTAAAATGATCTTGGGAGATACAAAACATCTTAGAAACCAGATCCTTCGCCTTCCACCCAAAATCTAGCAGACTGCCCTTCTAAATCCAAATTGTGACTATCTGTGGTTATTCAATGGCAATGGAAAAAACATTTTCTACATGCTTAAAGTCACTTGTTTCTTTATAATTACATGCAGACTGAAATTTAGCACTGTCGTGGAGAAAATATTCCCAGCTAGGCTTGCCAAACATTGTCTCCAGGTTAAAGCCATGCCCCACCTCCATTAAGATCCCATTTCCCCTTCCATGAATACAACCTGATGTGAGGACATGAGAGAAGCCTCCCACAAGGATGGTAAAACATCAAAACATCCAGGCGTCCCCTGGGCAACGTCCTTGCAGACAGCCAATTCTCTCACACCAAAAGCGACAAGTTGCTCCTGACACACACAAAAAACCTTGACGCATTTTATGCAGAACATTTGAGATATTTCCAAATATGTTTCTGACTAATGTGAAATTCTACATGAACAATTGGAAATCACTTTGTAGTTGGTAGAAAATTTCCATTTTCTGCTCAATAATACTTTTGGAGACAGGGAACAACATGAATCCAATTGTTGGTCCCAAATACACCCATGGGATTACTTGTATTTACTTATGAATGCAATTCAGCATCTGATTCAATGGTTCTACACCAGTTAGGAACAACCAGTAAGATTCCATCTATTTCCTCCCCATTATTTAACTGAAGAAGATTTATCACAAGATTTTCATCACAGGAATTTTGGTTGAAATGCATGAAACGGAACTTAAATCCGTAAAAGTTTGCAGAATTGCTTTTTCCAATTCCTTCACATGTGATCTCTTTGAGCTAGAAATAACGAACAAAGTGTACAACTTCACGATCCAAATCCCAACAGTCACTGAACTGGAAAGATCTAGGTTGTGACACCAGACTATTTTGTAGTATATTTATGATTTTGGGGTTGTTCAAATAGACGCATTCTAAAAACTTTTCTTTTAGCTAAATATTTTCTGGTTTTTTTCTTTTGTTTGTTTGTTTGTTTTGAGAGTGCATTGCAAGAGTGAAAACTCCTTGGTTTTAAAAGATCACAGATAGTTCTGCATTGTAACTATGCTTAAAGAATTTCCAATTTGTCCCTCTTCACCGAAGGCACATGCCCAGATCTATCTTCTTTGCACAGCTGAAATTGCTGGTTATGACCTATAGAGCTGTATACAGCTAGAGTCTAGAATATCTAAAGTACTTCATTTGATACAAACTTGCCTGACATTTTTGGAGGAAGCCCTTCTTTTTGTCCCATCACCCTTACAAACACAACTGGTGGACACACAACACAAGGTCTTCAGATATTCTGCTGTGAGCTCTGAAACTGCCTTCCTGAGGAATTTAGGCTAATTCCCTCTTACATGTCCTTTTTGGCCAGGTGAAGACTTTGTTCTGTTGACACATCTTTCAAAACTACTGCTTATAAGAAGTGAATTTTAAAAGTATGCATGCTATAGTTTTCGTCCTTGACTTTCAACTGATGTATTTATTTAAAATGCATCCAATTCTATTGATAGTTCAATTGAATTTTTACTTTTATTTAACCAACATGTGTTTGAATTATTGTAAGCCATCTCAGATCCCAACACTTGGGGGGGGGGATTGGGATATAAACAAACAAGCATCTCAACTGCCAGCTGAAGAGCAGAACTCTGAAGTAAGCAATTGCAAATGATTCATTTTCCCAGTACCAAAGATATGTAAATGCATTACATTATAGCTGCAACTTAACATGTGATGATTTCACACCTCTTGTAGTTTTTAAATTTCCTGTAATTTTCAATATTTTTGTTATGGTTGGTCATAAGATGCCCTCACAGTATCATAGAGGACAATGTGATGTGCCTCCTGATGCTGACTTTGCTCCATTGTGAGCTTTGCTTAATAGGATGGCTAATGCCCTATTGAGGCATGTGTCTATATTGTTTCATAAATATATAATGCAGACCTGGAATGGTCATGACTGTGTAGCCAGAAAAATGTGAAGTATAACACACTAGATCATCTGAAGTGACTGAAGTGAGCTTGCATAGGGAAAACATGTGGTTAGTAATGTCACTCTCACTTTGATATAATACGGATGTGTGTGTAGTGTGAACACAGTCACAACAGTCCAGGAAAATACTAGTTAAAGCAGACTTTTTCCACCCAGGCTAAACTCACTACAGTCCTTTTGCTGGCAAGCAGAGAGCCTTCTCTTCTGGCAACTGACTCCCTATCACACTTTAAAATGGGCATACCGGACTTCCAATATTTTATTGCTTACTTATGATGAGTGATAAGTTTATTTTAATTATTTTAATGCATGTTTTAATAGCCCGGTGAATGTAACATTTTACTGGATATTTTAAAAATATTTTTGAAGTCCCTTTGCATCCCAAAATGACATTTTGCCAGAGATCCATGGGAATCAATCTTGCTAATAAAGCCAATGGTTGTTTTCCATTTATTTAATCATAAAGCATAGCACCTACCTTGCAAGGAAAATGAAAGTGACAAAACCATAGGGAATGACAAACTTGTATCTTTCTCCACTTGAGGGATTATCTGTTATACATATAGGATAATTATAAAGTCTAGCTTGACTCTGAATCTTCTTCTGAAATCAAAGTACGCATGTATCTTCTTGCATAGTAAGCCCATGTACTGCAATCTGATGCATGTCTTCTCATAAGCCACATTGATTGGAAACTCCTTTCTTGGAAACTTTTAAACCAGTGTTTCTTAACCTGGGGGTGGGACCCTTGGGGGGATCGTGAGGGGATGTCAGAGAGGTCGCCAAAAACCATCAGAAAACACAGTATTTTCTGTTGGTCATGGGGATTCTGTGTGGGAAGCTGGACCCAATTCTGTTGTTGGTGGGGTTCCAAATACTCTTTGATTGTAGGTGAACTATAAATCCCAGCAACTACAACTCCAAAATGTCAAGTCTATTTTCCCCAAACTCCATCCGTGTTCACATTTGGGCATATTGGATATCTGTGCCACGTTTGGTCCAGACCCATCATTGTTTGAGTTCATGGTGCTCTCTGGATGTAGGTGAACTACAACTCCAAAACTCAAGGTCAATGTTCACCAAACCCTTCCAGTATTTTCTGTTGGCCATCGGAGTTCTGTGTGCCAAGTTGCATTTAATTCCATCATTGGTGGAGTGCAGAATAACCTTTAATTGTAGGTGAACTATAAATCCCAGCAACTAAGATGAATAGGAAAAAGACAATGATTCTGACAAAGAACATATCTAAGAAAAATCAGGAAAAGCTAAAAGAAAGCACTGGATTACAAATCTCCACGAAAATAAAATACCTAGGAATACAACTAACAGCTAGGAACTCTCAGCTGTTGAAGAATAACTACGAGGCTAAGTGGACGGAGATAAAAAAAGATCTAAAAAACTGGAACAATCTAGCGCTATCTTTACTGGGAAGAATTGCCACGATCAAGATGACCATCTTGCCAAAGTTGCTCTACCTCTTCCAAAACATTCCGATAATAAGAAACAACAGACTATTTAATGAATGGAATAAAGAAATATCAAAATTTATATGGAAAAAGAAAAAACCGAGAATAAAGTTTAGACATCTGACGGACAAGAAAGAGAGAGGAGGGCTAGGTTTACCAGACCTTAAACTCTACTACGAAGCCTGCGGTCTAAGATGGATAAAAGACTGGATTCTATTAAGAAAGGAAAGAACATTAGAATTAGAGGGCTTTGACCTGAGAATAGGTTGGCATTCGTACCTTTGGTACGACCAAATTAAGAAGGAAAGGAACTTCAACAACCACTTCATCAGGTCCGCACTAATGAAAATCTGGACTAGATATAAGACCAAACTCTATTCAAAAACCCCCTTATGGATTTCCCCTTTGGAAGCGGGGCAGAGAAGATTACTGGGGTGGTCAAAGTGGCCCACCTATAAAGATGTCCTAACCAAAAAAGACGGCATGTTACAACTGAAAACAAAGGAAGAAATTTCTCAAAAATTTAACACTGTCTCATGGTTCCAGTACATCCAATTAAAGGAATATTTTAAGAAGGACAGAGAAATAGGCTTCATGGAAAAAGATGATTTCCAAGATAAGATCATACTGAAGGAGAAAAAAACGATAACGAAGATCTACAATAAGTTACTACACTGGGCAACAGAGACAGAGTTAATCAAGGAAAGCATGATTAAATGGGCATCAAACATCGGAAGAGAAATAAAACTGAGTGAATGGGAGAAGTTATGGACCAAGAAGATCAAGTATACATACTCGATAGATTTAAAGGAGAACCAGATCAAAATG